TTATGGGTGGCGCGGGGTATAACAAGAGCGGGAGGGGTGCGCGAATTGAACAGATCAGTCGTGACGTAAGGGTTTATGTGGTTGGGGGTGGGAGCGAGGAGATCCTGAGCGATTTGGCGGTTAGGGAGGAGATAAAGAATCTGCATGATACGCAGCGTGCAGCGCAGAAGGAAGGAGCAAAAATTTGATCGGAGAAGTAGCGGGGTTAGCGTGGGATTTTTGGAGTTGTAAATGGTGATAGGAATATAGACATGTTCTAAGCAACTTAGGGATGATAGACGGAATATCCATGAATAAAAAATAGGATATTATACACAGAATATTCGATAGGGTGGAAGTATGGTAGTAGCACAACAGAAGACATGCAAAGCCCCGTTCAAAAATACCAACCGCCAAAAAGAGAAAAGACATTATGGACCTGTTACCGCGTGGACCGGAAAGACAAACAATCAGAGGAATCGAGCCAGCTAAAAGAACTTGGATAGGAAAATGGAAAATTGTCGGGCGAAGTAAAGCTTAATAAAAAGGGGGGAACAGAATCCTAAAAGTATGTGGAAAACCCAGTAGATATGAATCTAATCAGCATTCTAACGGATGAAACTTCGTCGCCCGCTTATTGTCTCATCTGAAAATCCTTCCTATCATCCCTGAAGCAAAATTAGTTGCAATGCCACCGGATAGGGCACTGCTCGCGAAGGTCGATGCCTGGCTAAACCGGTCACATCGCGAAAACGCCACTGTATTCGTGAGAGTAAGGATGAGCGCAATTGCTATATTGAAATACCAAAAACTGAAGTTTAGCTTTCTTTTCCCATCTGTAAACGAATGGATATAAAAATAATCCAAAAATCAGGGGGTGGGGCATCAATTTCACAAAACATACCAACCAAGCTTAGCCAAATGACACTCTGTAATCTTATAATGGCAAGAATAGCAAGACCAATCCACAGCGCCGGAGTAGCGTATAGACTGAGCCAAAAGAACCGTTTATCTGTGGCATTGATGGTCCGGGTGTTCGGGTCTGAACTTTCGAATACCCAGTGAGAATCACCGTTGGTGGTGTTCACTTCGTTCCACCAGCGGAGTCCGACAAGGCGGCGGCCGGCGATATTTTTTAGGTAGTAGAAGTCAGCGGAGAGGAGTAGAAGGTTTAGGATGAAGACGAGGACACTGATTGCGGTTATTAGTTTTGGGGCAAGCATTGTTTTGGGAGAGGGGACATGAACGAGGACGAACAAGTTATTGATGAATAGAAGGCCAAATAGATACATCAATAAGCTTCCTATTTAAGGGGTGAGGGGCCCTTGTAAGCAGCTGTCCGGCTCCGAAAATTCTAAGGCTACTTATGGATTCCCGGAGTTAATTATACGAACCGATGCGGATGC